CATCACTGGTTTGTGAAAATAATGTCTTAACTCTATGACTGCAGTGCTTAGACTGCAATACTGCAGTCCAGCTTCTGCTCACAACCTGAGTTCAATCCTGATGGGTTCAGGTAGACAGCTCAAAGTTGACTCAGCCTTTCATCCTTCCAGGGTTGGTAAAATGAGTAGCCAGCTCACCGGGGTGCAAGTTGTTGTTTGCAAATTATTTGTAAACCACCCAGAGAGTGCTCTAGCACTATGAGACAGTATACAAGTAAAAACAACAACCACAGCCAGGTGGGCTGTAATTACAGTTACAGAACATTCAATAGATGGGGATGTATTTTATTATTAATATTATTAACATTGCAAAACTGTTGTGGTCTGAAAGTATGTGTATTTGGTGGAATTCTCTTACTAAAAAAGAGGAGGGAATTTCTGGGTTTTTTGGGTGTATGTGTGTGTGTTTTCTCTGCATAGGAAGCCAACACAGTAAAGAGCCTGATAGTTGGTTTTAGAGATTAATCAGTGTTGATCTCTAAACCAGGCCCACCAGTCATATCAACTGGAAGACGTCCAAGGTATCTGAGAAACATCTGGGTCTATAAGCCTCCAGGAGCAGACTATCCTAAATGGTTCTCCACACCTGCATAGGTTTAAGGTTGTCACTAGTGTAAACCCAACCAGTTTGAGATATGTCAGTCACAAAAACACGTCTCTAGACCCCTCCACCAATCTTCCTACCTGGAACAGAATACTCGATTGCAATGTAGCCTACTACTGCATATGTTGGGCTAGAAAGGGTCATGGTTTTCAAGGCCCCCATGAAATTCAGCACTGCTCCTGATAAGAAGATATTAATTTGAATTTTGAATTTCCTCATAATAATGATCTTGGTAGTACTCCACACAGTTGCCTACAAAAATTATTTTGTACTTATGCATGCAAAATCCAGAACCTGAGCGAAGATAACTACTTTAGGAACTGATGGCATGAGGCAAAATGGAAACTTTCTGTTAACAAGCTAAGCAATCATTATAGGAACAAAATAACTTCTACATTCAGTTACAGAAGCTCCTGAAGTTGGTGCCCATATCTGGGGATCTTTTTTTGGTTTGGCAAGTTATCTCTGGAAGCAAAAGTGATGAAACTGAATCTGTCCTACTTTAGTAAGAGAAGGTAAGATTTCTGGGAAAAAACAATAATGCTGTAAAGATTGAAGGCAGCAGGAAAGGAGGAAGACCAAATATAGGATAGATAGAATATAGGATGGGATAGTAGTTCTAATCCTGCTCTAAAGTTCCAATGCCAGATATGAACACAGACAACTGGATGAATGGTGGACAGGAGACCTTGAAAATGGAAATGGAGATTCAATAGGTCAGCATGTACCCCATCACTCATCAAATTTGGACAGTGGCAGAAGCTGTACCAAACCCTTAAGATGTTTCAATCCCACCCAAATCATGGTGGTACATGGAGGACAGACTTCTTATGCAGAAGCATATACAAACTTGAGAGTATCAGAAGTCTGAGTACCAAAACATGTAACAAGTAGAAGGCAGTAGGTAGCCAGGTGGGCTTGGGTTATCTTATTCTCTTGTCTTTTAGAAGTGATAACTGATAATGCAGATGGGTCTGTTTCTTCCCTTTTCTAGGAAGCCAGCTGTTATTATTTTTATTTGTTAAGGGGACCTAGCTACACACATAGGCTCTCCTCCATAATTGCTACCAGCCTACTTACATACATAAAAACCCACTGTTGGGCTTTTTGTAACCAAAATGAAGTTTTTATCATCAGTTATTTCCATAGGAGATACCGGTATGTCATGCATGGATAACACACATAATTAAACACATGCCTTTGAGATCCCTGGCTTAGTCAGGAGTCACAGACCATGCACACAGGAAGTTAAAGTATGCATCGCATGTTTGTGGCAGCAGTCATAATGTGTGCTCTAAGAACAGTGAATAATTAGCATTCAAAAGCTCCAAGGGTGAGATGGAGATGCTCAACCCTCCAGTTGTTTTGGATCACCACCCCCAAAATCCCTTACCAAATACTGTCCAGAACATTCAGAGGGCAAAAACTAACCAACCCTACTACAGAGTTAGAGATGCTTCTTATGCTATTTGTTTTTGGGTATAGATACCCAGCTGTGAAACATTTGTCCATTTTGATTGACACACAAATTTAAATCAGCATTTTTGGTGCAAAGTATGTGAAAGTGATGCTTATGGAATGCACACCTGCTGCTTGCGTATATACTTCTCCCTTGAATTGCAGAATGGGTTTGGTTATACATAGGTCTTTTTTAAAAAAATGTTTCAATCAATCAATCAATATTCAATAAATTCGGTGACCCTGGCTACCCAGAACCAGAGGCACGAGTTCAACACTGAAGGTGTTGAAGTGGTCTACTTGCCCCCCAACCCAACATCTCTAATTCAGCCTCTAGATTAGGATGTCATAAGAACCTTTAAGTCTCATTACACATAGTGTTGCATGGAAAGGATTATCAGTGCTTTGGAAGAGAAGCGTGATAGAACTATTCTCTCTCTCTCTCTCTCTCTGTGTGTGTGTGTGTGTGTGTAAGATTTATATATGGATTTTGAACTACAGAGGGTCCAGTGTTGAAGGGAGAATTGCATTCTGCCAAGAAAGCCTGTGATTTATCATACAAAGCAATCCATGGAACGCTTATTATGCTCTGTTGATAAACAGCCATACCAGAATCACAGTTTTAGTCCGGACTGGCCTATGCTGCAGCACTCAATCTCTGTTCTTAGAACAGCTGACTTGAGATAAATGAGAAGCTGCTTTATTACAAGAGTCCTATAAAAATGCATAAAGTGGATTGGAAAATTATAAGGTGAACTCCATGTAACAAGCAACTAGGTAAGCCTTTTCCTAGAAAAGTTTCCCTGCGAGTAAAAATACACAGAAACTGATCTGTTTTTGTACTGCAGGTCACTTTTCAATAAAACTGAGCAATAAATCAGGTTTGGTGGTTTATAAAATCCTGTCATTATTAGAGCAAGTATTGTAAGTGCTCTTGAACTTGGAGAAAATAAAGAATCCAGTCCTATTTCCATGGGAAATGGAAAGAGCTCTCAAGGTTGTAGGAAGGAAAAACAATGACAGCACTCCATGAAGGAAGCAGGAGGTGGGAGCAAGATTGGTCTACTTCAAGACACAAACCAGAAAAAACATTATGGAGCATCCCTGGGTTTAGATCACCATATGTCCAAAACTCCTGAGTAACCCAAGGTTAAGAACCAGTGGTTTAGACCACCATATGCTCCGCCTTGCTTGGACCTGATGACTTAAGAGGAAAACTGACCAGCTGGATTATTCTGTCTTGTCGCTGCATTCTAACAGCACCATTAGCCATTTTCTCTGCCTCAGGACTCTCAGAAATAGGCAAGGAAGAGGCTAGCTTTCATAGAACACTTCAGAATTTCCATCATGCCTCTGAATTACATACATGCAATTAGCTAATCATACCGTCCAGAAATAAATGTCAAAATCTTTAGAAGACTGAGCTCACTTGCACAGCTGGACTTCTGAATGTTGTGATCTCCATTATATAATATCCCTTTCTGTAATAGACAGAACCTGTTGTAGCAGAGAGAGAGAGAGAGAGAGACCGTTAAGGCTTATGAAAGCAGCTGTGCTTTTCTCCCATGGTTAAGCAAACATGCTTTGCAATTGCCTTCGTTCTTACAGTTTTGAATGCTGTAACTTTGATTTATCAAGATATTGCCAATAGGATCAGCCTAATAAATATGGACATATTTTTTTAAACGCCCCAACACTTGTGAATAGAATCACTTTGCATTGAGCCACATCCATTGGGTCATGCTGCCCTCAGGAATTGTCAAAGTTTCAGGTGAGGCAGTTGTGCTTTGAAAGAAAAACACATTCAAGTTACTGTAGTATTTTTAAATTATTATTTAGAATATAGTGGGGACAAGTACTGCTTGCAGTAGGTAGCATATTGTATCTTCCCACCAGTGCAGCAACGACCATCATTTGTCCTTCTTGATCTCCAAGATATGCTGTATAATGTGAAAAAAGTGCAGGCTGAGAGAAAAGAAATTCACTCCTACATTTAGAAAAAAATAATTTGTTTTTAGCTGTGCTAGTTAAAATCTCATTGATGGAAGGAACCTTGAAGGGAATGGAATCAAGATATTTATGTTTATGAAAAGGGGACATGGACTAGAAAACATTATACTAAGGCTAAGCAACCACTCGGTACAGCCCCATACTCAAAACTATTTTCTCATATTTACGTCCTTTTGACTAATTGCAGTCAAAACTTATTGTTTTATTAAAGGTTTTTATTTGGAAGCTAAACCTGTGAAGTGTTTTGAGACAATTCAGTCTGTTTAACTGGGATTGGTCCATTTTTTCTATGATGTTCCAAGAAAGGAGAAAGGTTTTCATACTGTGCCTTATTCAACATGGGAACTCAATAGGCCTTCTACACACTACGGAAGTTCAAGACTTAAAGGTTCAAAATAAGGCAACAGCTAGGCAAGGAAGAGAGCGATGAGAGAAAGCAGCAACTCTGCCATGGAGGTGGTTGCTTCCACTGACGCTTTTCCTTTGAGCTCTAGAGAGGCTGCCTCATGAGCACCAACCAGCTTATCTAGAGCTGCGTAGGAGCAAACAAGGCTGCCCAAGTCGGGTGTGACAAGCTAAGGAAGCTGCTCCAAAAAACACATTAAATCTTGAATGAACTCCTTGCTTGCCTACCTGCCTGCCAAAACTCTGAGAGATGGAACAGGCTGTGAGTAAGTTCTATTTAAAGCCAAAGGGGATGTTTCTTTAAATGCTGAAAATCTATTTATCTTAACTGATTCGCTTGTTCCCCTCCCCGCCCCCGCATACAAGTACCAGAGAGAGACAGCGTTCAATTTTTAATGGGAGGATGTGTCCAAAGGAAGTCAGCACTGGCAGATCGATAAGACCACGGATGTACAGTGTAACACAAATGGCATGGAGTCAGCAGTGGTCAGAAGGAACTTGAATTAGGTTCCTGCTTTTATTGTCCTCTGGCAGCCCCTTTAATGATGAGCCTGTGATACATTTATGAAACCTGAGTCCAGTTTGAGCTTACAGATGAATAAATATTTTCTCCCCTGTTAACATCCTATTAACGTTAAGATAGAGGCCGTGAAAATCTGAACACAAGAAAGGCAGCTAATGGGCCATGTCAGAGAAGCAAGGAACAAAGGCACTTGGCATTCTATATGTACACAATTATACACGATTATTAAAATTTGCATTTAAAACACAAGTTTTCTAATATTACTATGGAAGATAACATTTCTGAAATGCCAAAGGACTAAAATTAAAGCAATGCATAATATATTTTTATTTGTATTTAAAGCTATATACAAAGGAGGGTGTCAAGAAGCTACAACACTGTCAAGAAGCCATCAGGTCTGCAATATATGAACAAATGAAAGGAAAGCGAAATTTATATATTTACAAAGGTAGAAGGTGCAAGAACAGAATGGAAAGAACAAACATTTGTTTCCACTTCAAAGTCCAGTTATCTCCCTTGTTCTGTAGGACCAAAACTTCAGTATGTATCATAGACATCTCTGTTCTCAAAACCAACTATTGTTCTGCGCAAATGTAGAAGTGTTGATGTGCGTGACCCACTAGGGCCGTGATAAAGGCAGCACAGAGGTTCGAATTCACCCAACAGCCGTTTCCTAAGGAGATAGTTTTGGTTTTATATAAGTGAAAGGTACTAAACTTAGATCACCGGTCGAATAAGTTAGGTTTGCCAGGGCAGGAGCAGAAGAGAAGTAGCAGTGGCTGAACCGTGTTTGCCCCGGCAATGCGCTCCCTTCCCCTTCGTTTATTTCACAACTGCTTTCTGTTGTTCTCGTGGTCAATAAAGTTTCTATTAATCGCAGGAGTCTGCTCTCCTCCAGAATTGTGTTTTAATTCCCATTTGGATTCACGGGATGCATTTCTGGCGTGTAGGTGAGCAGAACAATCATGACCCAGAGATGAAGCAAAGCCTGGTGAAAGAGAACAGGAGTTAGCATGTAACACTAGAAATTTTTTTGGGGGGGGAGGAAGAAAGAAAGAAAAAAGTTCCACAAAGTACTAATACATTGAGAAGACCAAAAGTATAGACATGTATAAAAGGCACTCGTAATGCTTACAAGCATCATGGGACTTATCAAATGCACATGGAGACTAGTCTTCATTTTTTACTTTGTCTTTCCTCAAACAACCTCACTTGTGATATCCAATAATATTCCAGCTGATCGCCACAACCACATTTTAGAAACAGGGGCTCTTTGGGCTTCAGTTCCCGGAAGCACCCGTTGGCATGGCCAATGATAAGCCATTATGGAAGCTGGCCATAACATCTGGTGCAGCAGTGAGCACAATGGGACGTCCCAGGCCATTTTTTCCTATCCCCAAGAACCTCCAGAAATGTTAATTTTTAAAAAGCCAGGGGTACAGCTTCCAGCTGTTTTCCAAAATAGAAAACTGGTCCTTGACAAAACTGACCAGTGCCCCTGGCACTTCAAAGCTAGTCCACTCCAATCTAGAGAGCCAAATATTCTCCCATCCCTGTTTTAGAGGTAGGGAGAACTGATCCAAGTTTCCTTTTAAGGAGAAAGGCAGGGTAATTTTTTTTTTTAAATAAAGGTCCACCCTGTAAACTTTATGGCTGGTTGAAGCTTTACGTGATATCTCCTCAAGTCATTCAACATTCTTTCTGTTTCACCACACCGGATTTTTAGGAGACAACCGGAACCTACACGTGTGTTCAGTTCTGGATCCCAACAAGAGAGGAAAGTTTCTGGTAAGACTTTAGATAAATGCTATTTTTTAAAAAATATTTCCATTTTAAAAACCGAGAAGGTGCCTACTTCACATCTTTTGCGTACTGGGTCTGTGCAAATAAAAGCAAACTGCAGTTCCTGACATGTTATAAAAAGCCTCACAAATACAAGAATGACCTTGGTGCAAGTCTCCTGTGGGCAGTGACAATGGTTGCTGAGGAGATTATAGATTACTTTGTACATAGGCCAATGCCCTGCTGATTTTACACCACAGCTGCTAACTGAGCTTGGATATTAGTCTAGAGATTTTACTGGCAAGTGGGAGTGGGCCTGTTGGTTTAAAGACTTTTTTTTTTTTTACAGAAGGTGGGAAATTGACATGAACCATTTGATTTAATGTTCAGAACAGCATTATAGAGACAGGAGGTACAGTTGCCAAGATGAAGTACTGTTCTGCCCCCTGCAGTACTTCAATTATTAGGTAGCCTGGAAAAATGGCAACCACGGATACTCAGCATGTTTTTCTGAGAAAGGCATTTTTGGAGTTTAGAGAGTAGAGGATGACAGCTGCTGTGCAAATGGTTTCGCACAGCAACCTTCAACAACCTGGTACCCTACAGATGTACAGGACTACAAATCCCATCATTCCCGACCACACAGGCAAAGGCTATGATGTCTCAGGATGATGAGGGGATAGTTAAATACATCTGAAGGGCACCAGGTTGGAGAAAGTTATTATACAGGGATATGCCTTTGAGCCAGAAACACAGCTTCCTTCTAACGGAAAACAATAGCAATTTTATATATGCTGAGCATTTATTCTCTCCTCAAGAATCCGAACAGCCACATTCTCTCTCTCTCTGTCAGGGATGTTATGAGATTCTCAGGGACGTTAATACTAGAAAATGTCAATCCGAACAGCCACATTCTCTCTCTCTCTCTCTGTCAGGGATGTTACGAGACTCTCAGGGACGTTAATACTAGAAAATGTAATCAAATGGAAAATACTCTGATACAAAATCTATTAAGAGAGTCTACAAACACAGAAAGTCACGCTTATATCTCTCCTGGTACACAAGTTACAAGAACCAGGTTGTGTAACCTGATTACAAAGTTCAGTAAATTGCAAAATTAATTATAACTCATTTTTCTTACATATGCCACTCAATGCTTGTCAGATCAAGATTATGTATTATGCAAGGAAGACTAAAATTGCTGCGCTTTAAGTAGATTAAACAGACTTACCATATAAATGATTACAAATACCCTTGCAATGGGATACCGTCGTAGAAAGATTCCAAGTCGAATGCTGTGGCCAAAATAAAAACAACAACAACAACAGAAAAAGATTACTTCTCTGTTTGTATTTTCCCTTGCATCAGTTATAAATTACATATCACTAAATAACTAAACAATAGCTAAATGCTTTGGCCATTGTAATTTCATGGGGGAGATTAATCCCTTCACCACTGCAGATCATATATTTCACCTTGTCATTTATGTTCCTAATTGTTGTGACCAATTCATCCCCTGATGGTCAAATTTCTGGGGCGAGCTTCTCCATACTTAGTTAGGCTGATCATTGTATGGTAGACATACAGAGTGCCTCAAGGGCTCATTTATTACATTGGTAAACCCTGCTATAGTTTGCGTGCCATGGCCACAGTTGTTGAGAGCCTAGAGTCATCTTTACACCAAATCTGTGGAAGGCAGGCAGGATAAGGGAGGAAGAATTCCTTCAAGTCACACCCCATTCTTCCTTAAACTCCTGCAGTTGTATGCCGTTTCCCCTCTCCACTCATGGAAATCTTTTCAATCCAGCAGAAGCTTCCACAAAGCGAAGGGGACAGAAGGAAAGAGGAGAAATCATGAGTCCGCCCTGTCCCCTCTGCATCGTTCAGTTCATCCGTCCCATTGCAGTTCCGTGTCTGGGAGCTCTTGCGTAAAGCAAGGAAGTGGAACAGGGAGGCTACCAAAGAGGGAATGTACAAGACTTGGAAATGAAAAATGATTTCCCTACAACCTTTCTGTTCCTGCAATTCCCCATGAAATCTACAAGCCCTGTATCAGTAAAGGGGACACAGCTGGACAGAATTCTATGGAAGGCACAGTGTAGATTAGGGTGGAGAACAGATGATCCTCCAGATGTTTTCGACTTCTAAGCTCCTAGAAACATCAGCTGCTATGCTCAATGGCAAGGGTTAGGGCAGGTGCTTTCCAATACATCAAGAAAGCCAAAGATTCCCAACCCCTCCTGGCACATGTGCTTGATGACCCCTTTCATTAGTCTCTGCTCTGATAAGCAGGAGAGCCCACAACATTTTAGAGCAGTGGATATTAGTCTGCTCTCAACCTTCGCAGGAGAGCCCACAACATTTTAGAGCAGTAGATATTAGTCTGCTCTCAACCTTGGTTGCCCAGATGTTCTTGGACTACACCTCCCAGAAACCCTGGCCAGAAAAGCTAATGACAAAAGCTTCTAGGAATATTAGTCCAAGAACCTTTGAGGACCCAAGGCTGGAAACCATTGTTTTAGAATTTACTGCTTAGTAAGCAGATTGGGGTGGGGTGGGGTAGATTTTTGAAGGCCCAAAATTCTGTAGCCTAGGTGGCAGCAAAGTCACACATTTCTTCTCCTTTGCAAATAACATGGTTTTGAGTCCACACATAACAAGTGTCTCTTCATAATTCTGATGTATATAAAGGTATAAAGAGATGCCCAATAGGAATGATCCAAACCACTCCCTTAACAGAGGTAGCCAAAGAATCTGGCAAGAAGCAAGTGAAGTCACCATGTTGACAGGAGTAACAAAGCAAATGGGACTAACTCTAGTTTGCTTCTAAAACGATTTAGTGCCGTAGTCATTATCTTCAGTTACTGAAGTAAATGACCCTTCAGATACAACTTTCAGAGTTCTTCACCACTGGCTGTATCAGTTGGGATTTCAAGAAACATCTAGAGGGTCCAAAGCTCCCCGCTCTCTGGTCTATCTAAATCCTTTTTTCTGAATTATCTTTATATTACCAGCTAATTCTGTTAATGGGAGTCAGGGGGAACTCACATAAGGACAGCATAATTTCCTCACCTAAACTGGTCGATACAACTGGCAGCTTTGCGGACTTTGCCATACATTCCCGCCGTGTTCACATCGAGATCACCAAAAAGGACAGGAACATTTCGCATGCGAGTGCCTGCAATGGAGATATTTTCATTGAATCACAGAATCACAGAGTTGGAAGAGACCACAGGGGTCATTGGGCCCAAACCCTTGCCATGCAGGAACACCATCAAAGCACTCCCAACAGATGGCCATCCAGACTCTGCTTAAAAACCTCCAAAGGAGGAGACTCCACCACACTCCGACGCAGCATATTCCACTGTTGACCAGCTCTGACTGTCAGGAAGTTCTTCTTGAGATTCAGGTGGAATCTCTTTTCCTGTAGTTTGAAACCATAGCTCCTTATTCTAATGTCTGGAGCCGTGGAAAACAAACCTGTCCCTTCCTCTCCTTGTATCACAGTTGTGGTCTCCCTCTGGGGCGCTTTATCTGTACTAATTCTCCATACAAGAGATCTTTTGGAATCTGACTCTCAGCCATTCTCACAACATGCCTGAACCAACGTAGACGTCACTTTTTCAATAATGTATACATGCTAAAAATTCCAGCTCGTTC